AGCTCTCGCAGCTTACTGAGAGCATGGAAGGTCCCAGGGGACAGGAAAGTCAGATTGTTTCCATCTAGCCAGAGGCTGTGGAGGAAAGTCAGGTTTCTGAAGGTGTTGGTGGTAAGAATCCGCAAATAATTATTGGAGAGGTTTAGAGAGATGGTGGATGCTGCTATTTCTCCAGGGAGAGCTCTCAGTCCAGCTCTGTTACAGTGAATAATCTCTTCAGGTGCACATTTGCACATGCTTGGGCATGAATCAGAGATATTCAGACTCAGCCCAGCCTTTGCTGCACAAGTAAATATAAATATAACAAGAAAGAACATGACCAGCCACAAGTCAGCCACCGCATCTAATAGCTGATGGATAGTAGAGAAGGAGGCAAGAAAAAGAGCATGTACCTTTTGGATAGGTGAACCGCGAGCATTGCAGGGTTGGTTGGGCTGTGCTTTTAGTGCACAGTGAAAATAAATTAGCTGGTTCTTCCTGCTGCAGACCAATGAGGATTAAGTCTTTAGGCAGATAAAAGCCGATTAAGTGCCGCCTTGTTGTGAAGAGCATTACTGAGAGGCAGGGAGATTTCTCAGCTGAGCATCACGCTCTGACAGTGGTTTTTCCCACCTCCTGCCCACTGCAAACAGCAATAGGTAACAAACTTCCCTTGGGATCTGCTTGGGAGAGGCTCCTGTTCCTGGGCTGATCACCATTCTCAGGATCTGCTTGGCAGTTTGCTCAAAAAAATCCTGTTTTGGGGGGATGGATTTTTGTACTTTTCTCCAGTTAGGGCTTCAGCAAAGGCAACTGAGAGTGTCTCTGCCATCAGCTGTGAGATGGGGGGCTCTCACCTTGGTATGGCTGCACGTGCTGGCAGATGCCCTGGGCTCAGGCCGTGATCTGAATACTGAGGAAAGCGGAGCTGGGACTGAGCCCTATGCACAGCCCTGTCGATGGCTGTAACTCCTCTGCAGTAAAACGGAAGACTGTAAGGAGCTGTGCAAGACTCACACTGTCTGCCAGCCAGGAATATGCAGGGGAGTGCTGTGTCCTGGTGAAGCCTCTTCTTGGGATGAGCCCTGAGCCATCTATGAGTGGTAAAATATGATCTCTGTGGGCAAAACGCAGAGCATCCCAAGAGCATGCTGCCCTTCCCAGGGCACTGCCTGTCTCCAGCAGGTCTGAAGATGCCACTGAGCAGCTGGAGCTGGGCTTGGGTCCCTAAAAACTCATGTCCTTGCGTCCCTCTCCGGTTTTTATCCTATATCCAGAATGCAAAGGAAAAGTGCAGTCGGAGGGGGGGCTGATTGGTGCACCCAGCAGCCAGGGATCAGCAGTCTGCAGGCTGATTATTTTGCTTATGATGCCAAGAGGACTAGACCTGGGCCTTGCAGCTGTTGTGTCAGCAGGGCAACCGATGACACTGTTGCTACTCGTGTCTTTTCTCACTCTTAATTTTTGTTTCCCCCCTCACATCTCTCTGCTAGAGTATATATTTTTTATATGTTTGAAGCACCTTCTCTCAGCCCCCTCCCTTCAGGTGCATTTCCCTGCTCTTAATTTCTTGGTCTGTCTGAGTTTTTTTCTTTTTCATGTTTTAGAGATTTGGGTTTCCTTTCTCTCCCCTGCTCTGTCAGCTCTGTCCAGACAGTGGCTAAAAACCCAAATATATGATATGCCTAACTGTAAGTGTGAATTGGACAAATTTGCAGATCCATTGTTTTCTCGGCGGAAGATTCGGCTTCCTGTGCTGTTAAATCGCTGTGTTGGCTTCAGCTAGTTCTGTTCTCTTCTTCATTTTTTCAAGCAACAAGCCCCCAAAGAGTAGCTTCTCCCTGGAAGCTTGGCTGCGATGGCCACATTGTGTAATGGAGACCATGTTCCAGCTGTAAACAACATCATTTATTTAGTTAGACAGGCTTTGCTGCAGTGTTACTAGGGGCCAAAAGCTGGTTTTTCACCCTGAGAGCAGCAGTGATGGCACCTTGCCAAAGGCCTTGTCCTAGGAGCCCTGGAGGAAGGTGGAAATGTGCACTGCTCGTCCCATCCAGCTACTCATGTTTGAGGCCATGCCAAAGGTTTTGGTGGGTGAATCTTTATTTTCTGTATTCCTGGCTCAACTGGGATTGCTCTTTCAAGCACATCACTTTGGAGGAGTGTCCTGCTGCTGAGATCTTCACAGCTTCTCTTACCTGCTGCTGCATCACAGCTATGAATATCCACTGCTCCATGACTTTCCCTGTGCATCCCTGTGAAGCACACAGGTTCCTGCTGGTTTCTGTGAAAGATGAGTGAGCTACTCTGTGTCTGCTAGGAATGCTCTCACCTCTAGCTGAAGTTTTGTAGCTCAGGCTGAGAAAGATGAATAGCTTACTCTGGTGTCCTTTCTGTTCTACACAGGCTTTGTTTCTGGTTGTAATTCCAGCAGTGTTGCCATGTTCTAGCCCTTATTGAAGCCCAGTGCTCTCTCTAATTCTCCCTGATTTCATATTGGAAATTTTCAGAGACCAAAAGCATGCAGCTCTTAGAGCTTAGTGTTGCCAGATGTTGCTTAACTGGACTAAAACACAGTGGCGAAACAGGACCACACAGCTGCAGAAGGTCTCCTTGCCTCAGAGCTTGTAGGCCCAAGGAAGCCCGTTAAGTATCAGAAAGACCAGATTTTTATACCTTGTCATGGGTTTGGCGACTCCAGCTGCACCCTGTAATGATTTCACGATGCATGGTGGGTGGCAGCTGCCTTGCCAGGATTTTGGCTGTGGCTGCTGCCTGGGCCACACTGACTGATGGCAGCTCTGGTTGCAACTGCCCTTGGATGGAAGCAATGCAGCAATGTGCCATCACTCAACACTGTGGAGAGCTAAACCTTTGCTGGGGGTTGAGTGTTGATCTGAGATAAATGATTGCAGGTGTATCCTGTGTGTGCTGCAGTGCTCAGTGCTCCTTTGCAAGATGCAGTCAGCGTTGCTGGTCCAGCTTCAGCTTCCTGAGCATCATTGCCTCAGTCAGCAGTAGCCAGCGACGCTACCACATCAGATGCTGCAGAGACAAGGTAAAGACTGGGTCCTCGAGAAGAAAAACTACATGATTTTTCTGTCTGGTTACTTTCTTAACAAATACTTTCCCACTATGGTCCATTCAATTAAGAGCATTCAGCTCTTGGGCTGTCTTTTCCAGGCTCAGTTCTTTGTGCTCCACATGCAGGGATTTTGGTTGTCTCACTCCATCTGCTAGGAGGGTTTTCTGGAGTGCATCATGTGTTTTGGCTGAGGTGGCTCATCCTTCTGGATTTAATGGAAAGTCTGAGCCACTGCAAGTCTTCTGTTAAAATGTATTCCGCCCATTGCATGACCATGATTGTGTTTTGTCTTTTCTTCAGTCACTGATTTATCTGACATTTGGGATTTATAGCCCAACACACCCACTTCAGAAATTGTTTGTAGCTAATGTCAAGAGCCTTGCCTAATACTGTGGATTTTAAGGAGCTGTATTCTCTTTACTGGATTGAGGTTTGATACAAGCAGTCCAAACATCTACTTTGGGGTGGTCTTGCTGGTCTAATGAGTTAAAAGTCTAATGAGCAAGGTTTGCTTTCTTTAAACTTTTTAGTGGGCAAAGGTGGGGGGAGCAGAACCACTTAATAGCTTTGTTGATTGAAAGAAGGATTAAATAAGTTGGAATACTGAAGTGTAAGGAATATTCTGACTTCCTCAAAGCTTTATCTAGCTTGTGAACTCTCTTTCATGCATACCTCAGCATTTTTGGTACATAAGACAAATTCCTAACAAAAGCACTTAAAAAGTGGGAAATGACGCTTGCAGTGAGTATAGTTCAAAACAGTGAAGAAAGGAAGATTTTCATTTTTAAAGGATGTCTGGAAAGAGACCTCCTGGGTACTCTAGCTTTATAAAACTGTCTACAGAGTCCTAGCTCTTCCTAAAAAAATAACTTTGAGACCCTCAAAGAAAATGTGAAGTACGCTCCTACATCCTTTAAATGCCAGATTATGTACAAGTATATTAATAAAGCAGAAGTATAGATGGGAGGGAGCTCTCTCACACAAGCTGTGGGCATCATTGTCTAGACTTCTGCTGCTCATCACAGCAACTGGTCTGGGAGAAGTGAGCAGAAGAAAATTACCTGTGATGAAAAATTGTTCTTTATGAAACCTGAATGTGGGTTCCTGTTGCAATCTGGCTGAGCAGTTCTCAATTGTTGAAAAGCTGTGCTTCAGCCCTAGCAGGGTCAGCGGGATTTAGGCTCTGTGCCCGTTGTGGGCAAGCCCTGGTGCCTGGTGGTTTATCTTTATCTGGGGCCATGGCTCAGAGCTGTGAAGCACTCGGGAACGGAGCTCTGGCCAAGTCCTGCTGCCTTCAGCAAGGCCAGGCGTGCTGTGGTCCCCCCCCAAAAGCAGACAGTGGTGCCAGGGCGCATGTGCACTCACTGCCTTTAATAGCAACGAGTGCAGCATGTTTTCAAAAAGTGACTTGTGTGCTTGTTTTCTTTACTACTTTTAGTAACTTGTAAAATGCTTAGGGCCAATTATTTGAACAAACAATGTCATGGAGGATAATCTCAGTCTTGGCAGTGTTATCGGCTGGACACAAACATCTCATAAAAGAAATGCTTTGGAAAAGTTTTCTGCATGCTGGAGGTGGAAAGGGCACTTCTCTTCCCTCCAAACCGCCTCTGCCACACTCTAGACACTAAATTTCTTCAAAAACTGACTTCTTCCAACGTGTAAGGTCCATTGAATGGGACCAGAGCTCTCTGATACTGTACTTTCATGGGTCCTGGCCAGGTAGCCCTTGTGTTCACTGCTGTGCT